TTTTTTTTCTTAAAAAAAGATGATTAAAGAACAGATTTATTTAACTAGTTTAATTTTTAAAAATAATTAAAGGGTGACTTAGCTTTTTTTTTTTAAAAAATGTTGATTAGATAATTAAAAAAACTGGTTAGGAGAGTTAAGTGTGAGATTAAGGTGTATATGTGGTATGTGTGTAGTGATTAGTGATTAATTACACAATAATAATAATAATAAAAGAAAAAAAAGGAGAAAACCCTAATTTCCCCAGAATTCCCAAATCGAGGAACCCCCCCTCGCCTCCGTCATCGCGCCTCTCCCTCTCTCACTCTACTCGTCTTCTCCGATCGCCAACTCGTTTCCCCTTCAATGCTTCACCGATGCTCATATCTGTACCTGAAACACAACCCAAAACGTTAAATCATTCGATAGTCTTTATGCGTGGGAAGAACTTTACCGAAGGTGGGCGGCGACGTTTGGAGACGACACGAGTGGAGGCTCTACTGGTTGAACTCGCGGCGGCTGAGGATGAATTCGTCGGCTAAAGATAAGTAGCTTCCGTCTAATTGAGTTTAGAGTTTCGATTTTTTGTAGCTCTAGGTTTTTCGAAGGTGATTTTGAGGGTTGTAGATTTTGCGTGTTTTTAGGGTTTTTGCCGGTCGTCCCTCTTTAGCGGTTTTGATCCTCTTATATAGGCCCTGAGTTGAGATTTGTGTTAAAGGAATTCGATTTTAAGTGCCTTGAATGCTGATTGGAATTTCCAAATTGGTTATAATCTGATTTGAAAAACATTCCTCTTTGGTTCCGATTTTGTTTAATGCTGGCTGATGGGATCATAATTTTGATTTTGCATTAATCTCGTTAAATACTTCGATTTGTCCAGATACATCAATCTGGAGATCTGCTAGCTGTTTAGATGGATCTTTTAAGTATATTCCCTTTTGGATTACTAACTCAGAGTTTAAAATCTGGCAGGTGCAAAAAGCGATGAGTTTGGGCCAGGGAAAATACATGCAGCCCATGGTGAATCTGAAAGTTTTCCACGACTTTTTCCCAATCAACAAGACGAGTTCTCAGTTGTATGTTTGTTCTCAGAGCGCTGTGAGGTCTGAAATGGAGCTTGAGCAAATTCGGTCTCGGGTGTTCACAGGGTATGCTCTTTTCTCCTTTCAATCTAATCTCCGTTTTTGGAATTGCTTTTTCCTTTGCTGATAAGTTTGGGTGTTTCTAGTGGGGTCTTAAAAGTTTATTTGATTTGTGAATTGTTTTATGCAGGAAAGCGACGGTGTCACCGTATGGAGCCAGGATTGCGTTCCGACACGTTTTGTAGGTAAAGCCTTATGGATTACGGAATGGTGCGCATCAAAGCAGGCTGTGTGATATGCGGTTAAGCCTTTTGAGGTATCATACGAAAGCTCAAACATGTCCGTGATTTTGATGGATGATTGTTGAGTTTGCTTGCGGTGAAACAGGAACAGAGCGGCAAGAAATAATCTCTGAACCTCTGTGTTTGTCTGAACTGCAGCTCAATAGCAAATGATAAGTTTGAGAGCATTGTACCCATGCATACTCATCTTTGATACAAGGTAGTATTTCTGCTCCTTACACATTGCAGAAGTTGCACTAGGTACTTCCCCTTTTGATCTGTCTCTTGAATCTGAACTGGTTTAATTTCCTGATTTGGTTGGTCTCACCTGTTGTATGGCTTTCTTAGCTTGCGTGGTGATTATCATGAGGTTTATGCGACAACTTTTAATTCAGCTGTGGTGGTAGGATAGCATCGGTAAGAAACAAACTCTGCTCTAAAACTTGTTCAGCAAAATGACATAAGAATGATTAGGTGTTTTGTGCTTGAATTTCTATTTCAAATTCAAACATGAGCATTGTTGTAAGTTGTTCTAAGTTGGCTGATAATCGCACTCTTCATTATAAATGCAGGTTATTGAAATACGTCGGCGGAAGCTGGAGCTGTTGGCGAGTAACAAGGGTGTATTCTTCATGTGCGCTGCTATTTTAGAAGACGGGTGACACTGTTGGAGACGCGGTATGCTTGGCGAGGGTGATATTGATCCTGGTGGCTGGTTTAAGGAATGAAGGGCCTGGATTGCTGTAAGTAGGCGGTCGTATCGGTTGAGATGCCTCCTAGGATTAAGATACACTTGCGGTTTCTCTGTGTTCTTTGCAGGTAGTCTAGATGGAAGTTGTCATATTAGTACTAGGAATAATGTGAACTGAGTTGTTGATGCTTCAAATATGGAGGAAACTCAGCTTTGTTGTTGCGGTTTGAGCTGATACGGGTTTGCAACAATATGCTCGAGGGAGTTGCCTGGAACTGACTTAAAACTGGTTTTGATGGGGGCACGAATTGATGGTTGTTAATCCAATCGTTCCTTTTCCTTCTTAATGTCCTGCTTTAATGGTGTCTGTTGGATTTTTGCAGACAAGTCCTCTCTCTGATCTGGGACATCCGTATGGTTTGGATTTTCTACATTCAGTTGTGGATTATCCATGGATCTAATTAACAATCTGTTGGCATCCGGATTTACTTGATAGATTCCAATTACGTACTGGTTTCGAAGCAATCCTTCGGCAAAATCCATTTCGACCCGAAACTTCTTTTTACTCTTCATCTCTCGGTTGCCCCTTAGATAAGAACAGATGTTACCTGATCTGACGCTAATGGCGCGGATCGGTAACGGGGGTAGGATGCGGCTTCGGTTGTGCCACTCCCGGCACTCGATGATGACAATGTTCTGAGAGTGTCAAATTCATCTTTCTAACATCTTCCTACTCTGTTCTGTTTTGTATTCTCTTTGTTATGCAGGTTAATGGAAGATTCGTGAAGAACATCGAAAGAGCATCGTGAAGATCCACTTAGACGTTTTAGGACTTAGAATTTCCTTAATATATGTACTTGTTGTAAATGGATCCTCTTGTAAACCAATGGCATTTCTTGAATAAAGTTTGAATTTACTTGTCCGTTTCAAATTGTAAACTAAATATTTATGAAATAAAGTTCAAAAAAATATTTATTCACTTCTTATTCGTAAATTTTAAATATCTATGAATAATAATTCAAAAATTATTTAAATTCACCCCTTAGATGTAAATTATAAATACTTATGAATAAAGCTTCAAAAATATTTAAACTCACTTCTTAGTTGTAAATTATAAATATTCACGAATGATATTCACAAATATTTAAACTCACTTCCTTTTTTGTATTGGACAATATTGTGAATGAGACCCACCCTCTTTATATTAACTGACCTTTTACCGTAACCTGATTAAATCTGACCAAAACTCAAACCGAGTTCCCGCTTTCAAAATAACCTTAGCAATATCCGCTTCCCCTTTAATCCCAAAATTACAAACCCCACGTGAAATGACCGAAATGCCCCTGGGACCAAATCTGAAGTCTTGGAAGTCCATTTAGCCTGATTAAAGTCAAAACCCTAGTTTTGGATGCACTGCTTAGGAGGTGCATTGTCTGAGGGAATTGTCAACTCTTCTGACCAATTATGAATTTTGTGAACCTTGTGAATCTTCTTGGAACACAAAGTCTTGTATTGTGAGGGCAAATTTTGGGGTGCAACAAGCTCCCTATTCAAATACTCGTCATCCACCTAAAACAAACTCAACCAATCAAATCATCTCTTTCCACCTTAGCACGATGTCAAAATATTTTCATAAACGAAAGATGTTTCGTCTATTCTGAGAAGATGCATCTCCGAAAATAGTTGAGAACAATTTCAAATTATCAAATGTGTGAGCCACACCTATGAATGGGAAAAGAAATTCTTTTTTTTTTGCTGCTGCTATAGTCATGGTTTTGCCTTTGGCTATTGGTGAATGTGGGTTTTAAGTGGAATCAACGACTAAATGAGTTTTAGGAATAATGAAATGGAATCAACAATAAAAAGGGATTAATTGGGCGTATGCCTCTTTCCTCCCTGAATATTTGGGTACTGGCTGCAGAACTCCAAGTTCGAATACTCGTCATCCACCTAAAATAAATCCATCCAATCAAATCATCTCTTTCCGCCTTAGCACGATGTCAAAACTTTTCATAAACGAATTATGTTTCACCTATTCCGAGAAAATGCATCTCCAAAAATAGCAGAGAACAATTTCAGATTTTCAAATGTGTGAGCCACATCCTATGAATGGGAAAAGAAATTCTTCATTTTTTTTTTGCTGCTGCAATAGTCATGGTTTTGTCTTTGGCTACTAGTGAATGAGTTTTAAGAGTAGTGAAAATGGAATTATCGATTAAATGAGTTTTAGGAATAATGAAATGGAATCAACAATGAAAAAGAATTAATTGAACGTATGCCTCTTTTTTTCATGAATATTTGGATACTAGTTGTAGAGTTTCCTGTTCGAATACTCGTCATCCACCTAAAATAAACCCAACCAATCATATCATCTATTTCCGTCTTAATATGATGTTAAAACCTTTTCATAAACGAAAAATGTTCCTCCGAAAACATGCATCTCCAAAAATAGTTGAGGATAATTTTGAATTTTTAGATGTGTGAGTCACTCCCTGTGAATGGGAAAAGAATTTTTTTTCCAGCTACTATAGTCATGGCTTTGTCTTTGGCTACTAGTAAATGTGGGTTTTAAGAGTAATGAAAATTGAATCAAGGACGGAATGAGTTTTAGGAATAATGAAATGGAATCAACAATGAAATGTATTTAATTCCATTGCATCATAATGATCTTATTTTAATTTAATTCAAAATAATCAACTTTAATTTCAAATATTTATGAAGTTTATTTGAAAGGTGTTATGAAGTTGACACAAGTAGATTTTTGTGAAGAACAATAAGAGAGCTTAGATTAAAGCTTAAAAACTACTAAACATGGATACATCTATATATCTATTTCAATCTCATTCCTTTCGTCATAAAGACAAAAAAGGTACATTCTTTAACAGAAAGAGATGAAAGATAAACTATACTAACAAAAATGCCAACAATTATAGTTGGTATATATCATTCATATATTCTTTTGAATAGCTAGCATTCAACTTCATCATCTTTTGTTCTTGCTGAAGAACCTGAACTCGACGCAGTCCCAACGACTTGGTCATTCGTCAACCTTTGCAGTTGAATCATGCGCGCATAGATCCCATCCGGGTGATTTTTCAACAAATGTGAATGTGAGCCTTGTTCCTCAACTTTCCCATCATCAATCACTGCAATGAGATTGGCATTCCTAATAGTCGATAGCCTGTGTGCAACAATGATAGTAGTTTTTCCCAAGCAGGCACGGTCAAGGGCCTCTTGAACAGACCTTTCAGATTCAGCATCAAGTGCACTTGTTGCTTCATCGAGAAGCATGAGTTCTGCTTTCCGTATAAAAGCTCGAGCAATTGCTATTCTTTGCTTCTGTCCGCCGGATAGTTGAACTCCACGTTCGCCAACAAATGTTTTGTATCCGTCTGGTAGAGAAGATATGAACTTGCGAGCATTTGCGAGAGTCGCAGCTTCGATAATCTCGGATTCGGAAGCTGAGTCGTGTCCATAAGCAATGTTTTCAGAAATAGTAGTAGCAAATAAGCATGGCTCTTGAGGCACCACTGCAATGTGTTTTCTAAGGGACTTGAGATTGTATTTCCTTATGTCCTTTCCATCGATTGTGACTCGGCCAGACGTTGGATCATAGAATCTTTGTATAAGTGCAATAACCGAGCTCTTGCCACATCCACTAGGGCCTACAAGAGCAAGAGTTTTGCCTGCCTTTGCACGAAGACTAAGGTCGCGGAAAACTGGCATATCTGGTCGGCTGGGATAAGAGAAGTCGACATGCTTGAGTTCCACTTCCCCGCGAAGAGAGTCGGGGACATGGGCGGCATCTAGATCATCTGGCTCAATTTCAGTTCTACGGTCAAGGAGATCGAAAACCGACCTCATAGCTCGACCTCCCTTGATGAAGTCAGGAGCCAAAGTTAATGTTTCGGCAGCACCATTGGCAGAGACCATGAGGACCATAAATACTCGGATTGTTTTAGAGAAATCGGAGATGCCGTGCTTCACAAGCCAGGAAGCATACCAAAGACCAAGAGCATAGGAAGCGTAGAGTGCAAACTGAGCTATCCCATAACCAATTCCAGAAATCTGTCCCTTCCAAAAGCAACGCCGTAGTGGAGTTTCAAGGTTCGAAGCGAAAAGGCCAACAATTTTCTTTTCCGAATTAAACGCAGCAACAGTCCTTACATTGGCTATAGCCTCCCCAGCTAGTTGTGTGGCCTTGGCATGAGCAGCTTCTAAGTCGCCAGAGAAACCCGACATGAACATTTTCTATTCAAAAGTTCAATGCAAAGAATAAATAAATAACACAAATGAAATATGAAACTGTGAAAATGTTTAAAAGAAAACCTGTAAGACAGTGGCTGCGACAACAACTGGGAAGACAGCAACGAGAACAAGGGCAAGCCGCCACTGCAATACAAACCCTGCAGTACAAGCAACAATCATAAGTGCAGTGTTCTGCACAATTACCGAAATCCGATCGCCAATAGCAGATCTAACATTATTGGCATCAAGAGCTAGTCTAGCTGCAATCCTAGCACTCTCATTTTCCTCTCGATCAAACCACGCCATTTCATTTTTAAGCACCGCACTCAACATTTTCTCCCTCACTCGTTTAGTAAGATTTTCACCGACAATATCCCAGAAGAAGTGCTGCAATGTATTGAAGAATAGTGCAGCCGACGAAAGTCCAATCAGCAAGTAGCAGTATTTTTCGATTTCTCTAATCATGTGTTTGTAGTTTGGATTGTAATAAACACTGAGGACAGCACTGAGAACATAAGCAAAGAATGCACTAAGGGATCCACAAACAATAGAGCCTATAGAACCAATCAATGCATATAACCATTCAGGAGAATTCATTTTCGCAAGTCGGCAGAAGGAACTCGCTTGCTCTTTGAAGGCAAGCTTCTCAAGCTTGTAATTTGGATACGATGCATCATGGGAGAGATTAAAATCAGATGTGGAGAAATCAGAAAACCTCCTCGAGTATGGTGATCGGCCGCCATAAGAAGAATTCCGAGTAATTATCGGTGAGCTTACAGAATTTCTAGCACTTGAAGGCCTGCATATTTTCAAAAAGATTAATAGAATGATATATCCTCAGCTTGAGATACCGAAAGTTAAATAATATCAACTACTTTTCTTAATCGTTGGTGAAAGCTACCTTGCACTACTTTTTCTGGCATTGCTTGTTGAGCTTTCATTTGCCGTCTCCTGCATTCTGATAAGCTTGGCATAAACTCCATTTTCCCCTTTAGCAAAGAGCTCGTCGTGAGTTCCGACTTCAGAAACACTTCCTTGCTGAAGTACCGCAACAAGGTCAGCTTTGCAAATAGTAGATAGTCGATGTGCAATTACAAGAGTTGTTCTACCAATCATGAATCTATCAAGAGCTTCTTGAACCAGCTTTTCTGACTCGGAGTCCAATGCACTCGTTGCCTCATCTAGGAGAAGAATTGACGGGTTTTTCAGCATTGCCCTTGCAATCGCTATTCTCTGCTTTTGTCCCCCTGATAGTTGCAACCCTCTCTCCCCAACCTGTGTTTCATAACCTTGAGGAAGTTTGAAGATGAAGGAATGAGCATTAGCTACTCTAGCAGCCTCTTCGATCTCTACTTGATCTGCATCAGGTCTGCCCAACAGTATATTTTCTTTAATTGTGGTGGCAAATAAAGCCGGTTCTTGGCTCACAAGTCCTATCTGTTGTCTCAACCATTTAAGCTTCAATGTCTTAACATCATATCCATCTATCAAAACTTCTCCTGTAATTTCATATGATCACGAAGTTAAGGGGCCGTTTGATACAGTTTTTAAATTAAAATAATCACTTTTAAGAGTTTTCATCCGTTTGCTACAAATATTAGAGTGAGTTCATGCATGGTATACCAGAAGAAGGGTCATAGAATCTCTCGATGAGCGAAACAACCGTGCTTTTTCCAGAACCACTACTACCAACCAAAGCTATGGTCTTGCCAGAAGGAACACTCAAGGAGAAATTTTGAAGGATTTGAACTTCAGGTCTTGATGGATATGAAAAGTTCACATTTTTAAGCTCCACTAGTCCTGTCACGGTCTCTAACTCCAAACCTGATTCGCTTTTTTTGTCTATACAAGGCTTGTGATCAATCACACGGAAAATTTTTGCAGCAGCAACTCTGGCCTTCGTAAATGCGGCCATGCTTGGTGCAGACTGGCCTAAAGCCCTGCAAGGAACAATAATTGTCAATAATACCCTTAAAACGACAATTAAAAAGGAACGGAAGGAATAACCACTGAGGTTTGCTAAAGCATGAAAAATGAAGAAGATAAAGTACTTACAATCCACCAATCATGACAGCAAACATTGTAGCAATTGCAAGTCCTCCATTAGTGTAGTGATGTCTAACCAAATAGCCACCATACCATAACAAAAGTGCATAACAGCAGAAAACAACAAAGTATGTAGCACCTAATCCAATTCCCTTTGCAAGTCCAGTCCGGTAACCGATCTTTTGAGCAACCCTCAGAGTAGACGAATAGCCTTGTAGTGCTTTTGTCTCTCCAACATATGCTAACACTACTCTAATTTGAACAATTGTCTGCAAATTTGGCTCAAAATTAACAACACCAAGATGCAGACACACAGATAATGATACAACAACAATCAAATCTTATCCCACTAAATGGGGTCAACTAAAGGGATCATCTTTCGCCATAATGTTCACCCAGCATTAGCAAGGGCACACTTAAAGCTAAAACAAAACTTTGTATGGACTGACCCAACACAAAGATTGTTAGCACCTAAGGGAATTTAAACCTGAGACCTTGAGAGAAGCACACTCTTAAGACCCAAGTCTTCACCAACAGGCGAACCCCTGGGTTACAGACGCACTTATATGATAAGTACTTGTACCATAAGTGCTTAATTAAGTTGTTTAGCCAAACAAGCCTAACCCTCTTACCTGTTCCACAATGTTGCCAGCATGAGAAAGAGCTTCTTGGCTTTTACCAGATAACTTAGCCAAAGTGGTAGTATGAATGCCTCCTATTACAGCTATCATAGGGACAACAGCAAGTGTAACCAATGCTAATTGCCAAACAGCAGTAAAACCCACAGCAAACCCAGAAACAAATGTAGCCATATAGTGAACAAAATTACCTAACTGCATACAAAAAAAGAACCATATTAAACACAGTCCTAATCTCATTACATAACATAAAACAAGTCATTATAAAAAAAACAATAAAGGGTTCATGTATGTTTTTTCTGTTTCACCTTCTCACTTATAGCATCTTGTACCATAACAGCATCGGCGTTGATGGCAAAAACAACATCGGAAGTTCGAACTTCAGTGTCGAAGAACTGAATATCTTGATCCAAAGCAGCTTCAAGATACTTAATTCTCATCCTTGTTGATTGTCTCTCACCAGTCCACATCCAACAAGAAATCTCTGCAACAAACCAAACCAAACCTTTCTTAACATTCGCAGCCTCAAAAAACCTTTAAAAAAACCACAAGAACAAAATCTAAAGAACACAAGTTTTTTCACCTGCCCATGAAGATGCCCAAATAGCAGCACCAACAACCAGAAAGTAAAACGCATACTGCAAATGAAAAAAAATCAAAATTCAACATTCATTACAGAAACAACAAAAAAAGCAACAAACTTTGGCTCTACCAAGAACTTGTTACCTTAACAACTTCTTGGGTCATCTTGTCTAAATCATCAGCATTGGAACCAAAAGAGTTAACAAGATCAGCAAAGAACCGAAGAAAAAGTGGTAACGAACAACCATGTACAATTGCTCCAAGAGTTCCAACTGTCATGAGAATATAATCCAACCCATCAGCAAATCTGAAAAGCTCACCAAACCCAACAGAAGTAACATTCTTAATCTTCTCATTTCCATCAGAAAAATCACAACTTTTGTTGTTGGGTAAAGAACTTTCCCCTTCCAGTTCCATTTGTTCCTTGGATTCTCCTCTTTCTAACTCCAATGTTGATATTGAAGTTGTTGTAGGAGAAGATGAAAGCAACTCAATGCCTTGCATTTCAGACCATTTCCATTGCTCAGAAGCTTGTGACATTGCAAAATACCTTACTTGAGATACACAGTTTCACATCACTACATGGCTTTTATTGAATTCATGTTTGTGTTCTCTCTCATATTTTTCATTTTTATTGTTGTGGTGTTGTTGAATTGAATAGTGAATAATAGTGTTCCTCTGTGTTGTGAGAGTGGAAAGAAAGAGGCACTGTTTTGGAGTGTAAGTTATTGTTGAGTTTGGTTGCTTCTTCTGTAAGGTGAGATAATGAAGCAAGGTGAAATCAGAAAGTGATAGATGGTGATAACTGAGAACATAGACAGGGAAATTTCTGAGACGTGGAGAGAGAGAAAGAAAGGAATGTGGTTCTCCACCCGACAAAAAGTACTGTCAAAACTTGATGTTGGGTTTTGACTGAAGGAGATTCTAACCAGAGGTAAATAGTAGTACTTGTAGTTTCATAAAAAAGATTGATAATTAATATTTATAAATTATCAATGTATTTTTGTTATCATTTACTAATGGGAATTGTAATTTACAATATTTCTGTTCAAGATAGTGAAAATATCAATCATTTCATAACTAGCAAGTAAGTTATTTGAATCATCAGTCAGATGATATATCGAAAAAAAATATATGTTATAGGTATCAATTTACTATTCAACTTTTTTTTAGATAAAAATATTGATCAATTTCAATGTGTTTTATTTTGTTATGCTGAACACGATTATTTTGTTATGTTGAACACGATTATATGTAACTACCATTAGGTCGATTTATTTTTGCAAAATAACTTTATGGATCCTTCACAACATATCTCTAAGCCTTCTAACATGTAGTTTATGGGTTATAAGTTAGTGTTGTAGCAAACACTATCGAAGTCGAAGAGTTAGTGTAGGTGTCGAAAATATGCTAGGGTGTTAGCATATCAAATTGGGTCAGTATGTTAGCCCAATTGTTTAGTATGTTAGTTGAAAGCTAAGGTTTTAGTTTACTTATAAATCGCATTTTAGTCCTCACTTCTCATAATCCTGATAAAAAGAGAAAGTAGTGTGGTTGAGATTCAATTATAAACATTGTTCCCTAATGTGTAATTGAATTAAGAATCTAGGGTTTTATACCACTTTGAATTGTCTTTCTTTTATCGTTTTCTCTTTTCTTTTACTTTGTGGTTCTCTTGCTGATAAAGAAATTAATCTTACTCTATTTGTTGGGCATTGTCGCTACTGCGAAAATCGGCGCCGGCTGACAGAAGAGTCGCCACCGTGCGTTATTTATCCCAACGGAGGGAAAGGAAACGCTCGAAGTAAGCCTCGCAAAAAAACGGGAAAGGTATGGTCATCGCAACCAAAACCTGGATTCGGGAGTCGGTTACGCAAGGGGAAGGTATTAGCACCCCTCACGTCCGTCGTACTCGACGGGATCCACGCTTGCTTGGGTTGTCTAAAGGATGCAAAACAATCTATCTACGGCTGCTAAATCTAAACGGAAGGGAATTGACTCGATAGAGCGTCGCACTCTATGCCTACGTATTCTCAAGAGAGAAAGTCAGAGTCAACGTAGTTCGGGACACTACAGGGAAATGGCTCGCCAAGACCTCGCGTCTTGTGCCTACGTACTTCCACACAGCATGGAAGATCAGAGCTTACGTAGTTCAGGCTAACTACGGCTAAACTGGGTGTTCTCACACGGGAGTGAGAAATCAATCTGGTTTCAAAGGTATGGGGACCTATGGGAACAACTACGGTCTAGTCTCAAATGCACTCGGGCAAGAGAAAGGGATAACAATCAGTCGTCAGCGGGAAAATCTCGATCGCACAGCAGCGAGAGAACAAAATGTTAGTTGTTAGTGTGCTCGCTAGGATATCGCATTCTATGCCTACATATTCTCGTCTGGTACGAGAAATCAGAGCAGCTGTAGTTCGGCTACTTTCGGGACCACAGCTCAAATCTCGTTTTATTGATATTCTGAAAATGATTACAATGATTGAATACGGAAAGATAAACTCCTAAAAAACGCTATCCTAGCCATCGATAATGGAAAATCAAATGGAAAATAGTCCCCTAACAAGTGGACTTCTAAACTACCCCTAAAAATATAAAAAGTCCCCTAACAAATGGACTTCTAAAACTATCTCTAAAATAAAATCCATGAAGAAAATATACTCTAAAAAATATTAAATCTACACTAATATTTTTTCCTCTTTTTCATACTTCTATTTTCTTTTTCTTTCTCAATATTCTTTTCTCTTTTCTTTTTCAAAATATTTTTCATATTCTTTTTATCATTTTTCTCCTCCAATATTCTCTTCAAATATTTTTTCTATATTTCTATTTCTTCTTTTCATATTTCTTTTATTTTTTTCAAATATATTCTTTTTCCGCATCTTTTCTTTCATATATTCTTTCTCTATTCTTTTTCTTCTTTTCTTTTTCAAAACATTTTTTCTATATTCTATATTTTTTTCACTATTTTTTCAATATTCTTTCTCTATATAAAGCAACAAAACTATGTAAAAAAAATAGAAAAGAAAATATAAAGGGAGGGGGGTACACTGGTACAAGGGGGATGTGTTAACAGAAAAACAAAACAGCACTGAAGGCCCAGCCCAACAGAACCATTCAGCAAAGCAAATGGAGAAAAAAGGGGGGGTGCAGGAAGTGAGAACGGGGTGAGCCAGTACACACGTTGGGTTTGGCCCAATCCATCAGTAAGCAAAAAACGGAGGGTATGGCAAAACAGGGGGGTGTGTACGGACGAAGACACACTAATGGGCCCGGCCCAATCCAACACAGACTCTCTCTCTCTTCGTTCATCTTCCAACGAGTAACCCTAGTTTCTTCTTCTCTGCACTGTTCATACACCTGAAACGCCGCCTACCTCCCAGCTCCGACCTCTCTCGTTCTCACCCTCATCTCGTTTCCCCATCAGACATTCTCACCACCACTTCTTCAATCACCGTCGCACCTTATCCACCAAAACAAGCCACCAGCCCTATTCTTCTGACCCTAATCTTCCACCAAGGACGTTACCGAAAGAAGAAAAAATGAAAAACGAAGATGAAGAGCAGCGAACTCATCGTGAAGATCTTGGAGAGGTTCGATGAATACGATGGATGCGGATTTCGAGGATCTTGGATCTTGGATGAACACTCATGATGGCTCTGTTGAACAAATCTTGAAGGGCGATGAACACTGATGAACGTGTTGTTGGATGTTCTTGAAGATCGATGAAGATCTTCAAGTTTCTGGAGATGAACAATGATGAGGATCATGATCCTGTTGATGAGTTATGTTGATGAAGTCGCTGGGAAGGTTGAACAAGATTGAAGATCGCTGGAGGAAGTTTCTGGAGAGTGATGAATTGCTGGGAGAGTTGAAGGAGATCTGGAGACTGATGATGATCGTATGAATTTCTGGAGGATTAACGAAGAACATGCGAAGTTCTTGATGAAGATCGTTGCATCTTTCTGGAAAACGTGAAGAACACCACGAACATGGATGAAGGCTTTCTGGGGAATTTGCTTGAAGATTGAGAGAAATCTATGAACATGCACGAAGGTTCTTGAGAGTTTGTTGAAGCTCTTGATGAACACGACTCGTTGATGAGGAACTCGTACGAAGGTTCAATCGATTCTGGAAAAGTATGGTGATCGTTGATGATCGGAGGGTGTTGGCGATGAATGGAGAAGATCGGAGAAGAGATGAATCTGGTGAAGATGTGCAGTTTCCGGTGGGTTGATGACTTTTCCGGCGAAGGTTGACGAACAAGGTGGATGAGGAAGATGAATGAGGTTGAAGGATCTGGGTATTTTCAGTTTTCCGACGGGTTGTTACGGCGACCGGAGGGAGTTAGGGTGGTCGGAAACTGTTGGGGGCGGTGGTTGCATGGCCGCCGGCCATGCAACCGGTGAAGGTTGGCGTCAGACACGTGGCTGGGTGAGGGCCTGCATGATGGCCACGTGGTGCTGGGGGAGATAATGGGAAACACGTGTGGTTTCTGAGTGCAATGGAAAATGAGGTGGCTAGCTTCTCAGTTACACGCGTGGCTCATTTTATAGCTGACAAGTGGCATTTCCTTGGACCAAATGAACAAAAACGGATTGAATATATTTTGGGCCTCCAACCTGCACATTCTGGGCCCACGAAAAATGGCCAATAAACCCTGAAAAACTGAATAAAACATTAAAAAAGAAAATCAAACCCAATTAGAAGCTAATCAAAGACTTAATCCTAATTAACTAATTAACACTACAATTAGCTGCTAAATGACACTTAAACTAATCTAATCCTAATTAAATCTAACAAACTCTAATTAAAAGATAACTAATATTAAACTCTAATTAAACTAATTAAATCCTAATTAAATCTAAAAGATGATTAAAATCTAATTAAACCTATATTAAACTAAAATCAACATCTATTAAAATTCTATTTAATCTCTAATAAAATCTATACCATTTAATTTCTACTTAAAAAAAATCCTAATAAGAGAAATATTCCCTTTATCTAAAAACTTAATATCTAAAAAGAAATTTATTCTAAAATCTATTAAAACAATTTATAAAATTCTAAAAAAGATTTAAAACTATTAAAAATATTAAAAAATCTATTTAAATTCTGAAAAATCTAAAAAGCCTATTAAAAATATAAAAAATCTATTTAAATCTATAAAAAAGCTATTAAATCCTAAAAAAATGCAGACAAATGCAAATAACCAATATAAAAAATAGCACGAGACCAGATCGAAGCAAACGGTAACCCGGACACCAAAAATCTCAAAAATTACTGCATAAACCGAAAACACCCAGGAAGCGCGCGACTTCTCAAAATAAATTCCGATTATCCAAACCGGTCTAAGATACCCGAAAAGCGAAAACAGAGCTGTGATCCCGATAAAATCACCCTGATTGAAGAAATGTGCTATATGCAATATGCGAATGCGAAATGCGTCGAAGCATAAACCGAGAGTGGCACCGGTTGGTCAAATTTTAGGGTGCAACAGCTGCCCCTATTCAAGCGGCTTGGACCTGAAGGGTTGA